ATAAGCTGTAGTGCTACCTCTCAGTAGCTACGAATATGTCTGTATTTGGAAATGGGGTCTTTGTAGATGCTATCAATAAACCTCAGGTCATACTGAAGGAGGGTGGGCCCTAATCCAGTATGACTGCTATCTTTACACAAAGAGAAGAGGCACAGACAGACAGAGAGACAAAGAGGCATAGAAGGAAACCGCCACGTGAAGGAGACAGAGACTGCAGTTCCTCTACCACAGGCCCAGGGACACCTGTAACCACCAGAAGTTGGAAGACAAGGAAGGGTTTCCCCTCAAACCTTCAGAAAGAATATAACCCTGCCTACACCTGAATTCAGACCCTTGACCTCCAAAACGGTGAGAGAATGAATTCTTGTTGTTATAAACCACTCATTTTGTGGTAGTTTCTACAATAGTCCTAGAAACTCACACACCCCCTCAGTAAACCTCTTAAACTCCTAATATCTATTCAGAGTCAGTTTCCAAGAGGAGTCACTGATGAATATATAGAAAAATCACTATATGGGTTATCTCCCGTGTGATTACTGCCTCTGAAAATGCACCGGAGGGTCAGCTATGGGTCTTTTCTGACAGGATGGCACACAACGATGACGGTATCTTTTTACACTGTGGTCCCCATTACAGGGTGATAATCTGCCCTGAAGCACATCTCATGTTCTGTTTTGTGGTACTTTGGTTTTGTTTTGTAATAAAAAACAAAAATAAGCACACTCATACTATTTGCCTTTTGTGACTGATTTCTTTGCAAGCTCAGGTTCAATGTTTAATTGCTAAACAAAAATTCAGACTTTCAAACCCACCAGTAACTACTTGGGAAAAAGATATCTGGTCCCCTTCAGATTTACAGCCTCAGAGACCTGATGGAGGGTCGTCAGGAGTCATAATTGACTGGCCAGAGTTTGACTTGAGGAGTATTTCACACAGGATGATGTACTTCAGACTCATCCATGTTTTATGGTTTATTGTGATTTGAAGCATGATTTTTGGCACTGGAAATGGAAGCAATGGCAGATCACCACAGAAATATTTAAAGCAATTAATGATTGTTGTTGTTGTTGTTATATGCTGTCGAGTCGTTTCCGACTCATAGCGACCCTATGTACAAGAGCCCTAAACCCTGCTCTATCCTGCGCCAACTGCACTGCCTCTGACACACCCATCCCGATTACCCCAGTCACTGAATCAATCCATCTCATAGAGGGTTTTCCCCTCCTGCGCTGTCCCTCCACCCTCCCAAGCATGATGTCCCTCTCCAAGGACCCGTCCCTCCTGGCAACATGTCCAAAGTATGTCAGACGAAGCCCCAGAATCCTTGCCTCCAAGGAGTAGCTTGGTTTAATCCTCTCCAAGATGAATCTGTTTGTTTTCCTGGCAGTCCATGGTACAGTCAGTATTCTTCTCCAGCTTACTAATGCATATTATCTATTCTTCTAAGTGGTACAGCACTGGTCTGTTCATTTGCTGCACAGAGGTAACTCATGGTTGCTGTGATACTAAACACTATGACACATTTACCCATGGTGGACAGTGTGGGTGGAGCTTCCCAATTAAAACAGGCTTGGAAGCAGGAGTGGCATCCACTTTTGAAATAGCTTGCCTCCGGAAACCCTAAACTCTTGGAGAAACAATTAAGTTATACAAGCGTTCAGGTCTTTTGTTCTTAGGGTCACTACAAGTCGTCTATGACTCAATGACACTTAACAACAACAATGCATATTATCTACTTTGTGATATAATTCTATATTTATTGAAAATTAAACATTTATTTTCTACAAGATAGATCAGCTTGCATGAATTTCCTTCAGTGTTCTATCAATATGTTGGCATTCGTGTAATGGAGATTCTAGCAAGCCAGGTTTCTTTTTCATAAATATTCTCTCTCACACATAAGAAATTTAAAAAATCCCAAATTTATTTAAGTCTCCATTAAACTTTCAAGTGGGATTTCAGGACAGATAATAATCATAACTTAAAATAATATACCAAAACTTACAGAATCAAAGAATCTAAGTCCATGAAACTCTTCTGAAGATGAAGATACTGAAGGTTGGAGGAGATGTCAATGTTGGTGTCATTGTTGTTTAGTGTCATTGAATCGAGTACAACTCACAGTGACCTTACAAACAACAGACCTGAATCCTGCCCTATCCTGCACCATCCTCATCATCTCTGATACACTTAAGCTGATACACGTGGTGCAGTCACCACGTCAGTTCATGTCATTGGGGGGGTCTTCCTCTCTTACGCTGACCCTCAACCTTTCTAAGCATGACATTCCTTTCCACGGAATAGCCTCTACTAGCAACATGTCCCAAATATGAGAGATGACACTTTGTAAAACCTCTTTAATTTCACCTTCAAATTTTATTTCACATGTCAAAAAAATTGATATTTGCAATTACTTGCTATGCATCAGAGAGCTGGACAATGACTAGGAATGAAAGAAGCAAAATTGATGCCTTTGAGCTGTGGGGCTGGAGAAGAGTACTGAATATACCATGGACTGCTAGGAGAACAAACAAGTTCGTCCTGGAGAGGGTGAAGCCAGGCTGTTCCTTGAAGGCAAGGATTCTGAAGCTTTGTCTGACATACTTTGGACATGTTGCAAGGTGGGATCAGTCCTTGGAGAGGGACGTGATGCTTGACAGGGTGGAGGGACCATGCAGGAGAGGAAGACCCTTGGTGAGATGGATTGATTCCGTCACTGGGTAATGGGGATAGGTGTGTCAGAGATAATAAAATTGGCAAGGGATAGAGCAGGGTTTAGGGCTGTTGTACATAGGGTCGCTATGAGTTGCAGGCAATTCGAAGGCACATACAACAACAACATTTAATGTATTATCACAAATTCAATTATGAAACTATAAACTTAAATGAAAACTAACCTAAAGCCAAGATCCTTTTTACCCCCAGAAGACATTTTCCAGTGTCTGGAAAGAGCCCTGATGGCATAGTGCATCATGTGTTGAGTTTCTAACTCAAAGGTTAGTAGTTTAAATCCATTAACTACTCACTCCATGGGAAAAATATTAGATAGTCTGCTTCTGTTAAGCCTTGAATACTTGATGTAAGGTCATTAGGAGTCAGAATAGTGGTGGGTTTGTTTGTTTGTTTGTTTGTTTGTCAGACATTTTTGATTGTCACAACTGGGATTGAGAATGGTGTGATGTGGCTCTGTTACTGGCATCTGGTGGACAGAGGCCAAGCTGTTAAACACTTTACAATACACAGAGCCTCTTCCCACAGCTAAAGATCCTATGTTCTCCAACACCAACAGTGCCGAGATTGAGAAACCCTGGTGTGATGTTGTTGAATAAAAAAGTTATTCAGCGTGATGTTGCTTTATTGAAAGCTAAATGGAAAAATATTCTATCCATATTCACATAGTGGTCTCTCCAAGTGTTGTACTAAGTAACATCTCTCCATTTCCTTGAAAAAAGTTCTGTTTAAACACGGAGGTAAGTAGGAGTCTATTTCCACTTTAAATAAGAACATGCTGTCTTTTAAACACATTATCTTAAGACCTAGAAATATAAACTGTATATTAGAAGTTACTGGATTTCCATAACTGTCATAAAAATTTATCACCTAAATCTTGATGGTTATAGCATGCATTTTTATTCTTGCTGTTAACTTTGTGAAAAATTCAGGATGAAAGAATTGAATTTTTTTATCAACTTCTAAATATCTATGGTTAGTCTTCTTAGTCAATGAATGGCACATGAATTATTTTGTTTTTTTCCCAACGAATAAGCCTATTTGAAAATGCTGGTCATTTGAGGAAAGCCCAAGCACAGCACCTATTTCCTATTTCCATTTTCAATTTTATGTGGCTAAAGATAGGACACGTGTGTTAAATTATAATCACTCTTAAATATAGAAAACTTGAATTGGATATCAGATAGCTAAGAGCATAGGATTAAGTACAGATAAAATCAGTACATATATCAATTCATTATGTATAAATCATCTTCATTTTTTCAGGGCAAAATTTTTAAAAAATCAAAACAATGTGGGGCTTGATTTGCTGATCAAGGTACGCCCCCTACTGAAGCAAAGAAAAAAATAACATTGATTCCGTTTAAATTCATCAAGGCCCCCAACCCTCCCTAAAAAAGACCCCCCCAAAAAACAAACAAAAAAAAAACACCAAACACACACACACACCTCAACAACAAAAATCCTGCTACCACCTTGTGGATTCTAATTCCATAGAGACTTGGCGCTTAAAATACATAAATCACATCTCCACTTTACATATCTTTTTCTCCTTCATCTGAAATGCTGTTTTATTTAACTCTGTTTTATTTGATTCAAAATGTGTGAATGTCATCTTGAACACTGGAGAGGCTACACTGTAAAAGACCAAGCAGAAAATCTGTAAATGCTACCCCAATGCCAACGAGTCAAACTCGGACTCAGTGACCCTACAGGGCAGAGAAGATCTTCCCCCATAGGGATTCGATGTCACCCTTAGGAGAGCAGACTTGCACTCTGGTCTGCTCACAGACCTACTGGTGAGCTCGAACCTGCCAATCTGCAATTAGCAGTCAAGGACTTGAACCACTGATTAAAGCATTTTCAAAATTATAGCCACCGCCACCACGTAGCTCTAACATTAACAACAACTGGGTCTCATTTAGCATGATGCACGGGCCGTTGTCTTTCCAAAGGGCAGTCACAAAACGACCCTAGAAAATTTCAGCTATCAAAGTATAGAAGGTTGTCAGCAGGCATCCTCATCATCATTACTGGATTAGTTAAACTGGGACCAGTTAAGTACGGGTCAGAAAAGTTCCCTCACCTGCCAGCCGTGGTGGAATCCTGGTCCCTAACCTCCTTTGTAAATACTCTCTCTTTGCTCACAGTCTCCAAGACGCTGGTCCAACAGAGCCAGCCCCGGGACATCACTCGTCTAAAGCATCAGCTCCACTGCCTGCCTTCCCAAGCGCTGCAGGTGCGCTTGTGTCCGTCCGCGAAGCTCTCACCTGGGCTCCGGCGAGGAGGCAGCTGCCGAGCACGAGCCACCCCCAGACGTGGGGTGCCGCCACCGGCCGGGCCATGGCCGCACCGCCCGGCAAGGTTCAGGTCCCGCTTTGCCACTCGCCAACTTGGCCGCGCGGGGTAAACTTGGCCCCGGGAGAAGACGCAGCGGCCGGCGCGGCGGGCCTTGGGCGGCCGGGGCTTGGATTCCCCAAGTCCGGCCGCCGAGGCCCGGGCTGCGGGCGCCCCGAGGGTCTCGGAGCCCAGCCCTGCGGTGTTGCGGCTCCCGGGTGAATGAGCTTCACTCGCAGCCCCTCGCGCGCCCCAGCG